TGTTTGTTATAATTTAAAACGTGTTTAACTATTTAATATTTTTAAATCATACTTGACTTAGTTATGAGAAGTTTCTTCCTTCAACAGTCCTTATACGATGTAAAACATATTCCACTTATATTGAAACTTAATTATTAAAAGTGTAATCAGACGTAAAATTAATAGTAAAAATATATTGCTATAAAATTATTTTAGACATTTTAAGTATAATAATTGTTTTTTTTTATTGAAAGCTATAATAAAATATTATACAATGTAATTAAACAAGCACCTTAAACACTTTTTATACCATACATTTTAATTTACAAATAAAACTGAATTTATTTTTAAGTTATGTTTAATGTGCGTTACGTAATTATAATTTATGCATCACTTAAGTATTGTTTTAATATTTAAAACCAATAGAAAATCAGTGATTTTAATAAGCCCAGTACTTTTGAAACAACATAATAATTAATACTTTGGATGATTTTTTTTATAAAAATGAAAAATGTTATACATAAATCACATGTAACTAATTAGAAATACTTTTATATGTATTTCAGCGTCATCGTATTCTCAGTTGCTACAAACTCCTTTTCAAAGTCAATCGACTAGTACAGCTAGAAACGGGCAATCTTTTGATTTTGATAATTTTAATACACAAGAAATTCAAGGTGATTCTTCTCAAGCACAGTTGCAATCATTGCAAAACTATGGACAGTCTCAACAGACATATACCTCTTCACAACCTCAACCACAGCAAAGCTATAGTGCTCAAATACAAAAGATTATACAAGGTTATAGTGCTTCACAACAACCACAACAACAGTCACAACAACGGCCTCAACAAGGTTATTTACCACCACAGCCACAACCAAGCTACGGAACACCAACCCAAACACAGCCACAAGTACCACAACCACAACAACCAATACAACAAACTCTGCAGTCAAGTTATGGATCTCCGACACAACCACAGCCAAGCTATGGACCTCCTCAACAACAACAACCATCTCTACAGCCTCAGTCTAGTTATGGACCACCACAACAACAGCAGCCACAGCAGCGACCACAACAAAGTTACAACACACCACAATTTCAACCAAGTTATAGCACTTCTCTACAGCAACAACCAGTGTCACAACCTCAACCACAATCTAATTATGGACTTCCTCAACAACAACAACAGCCATCGCCTCAGCCTCAGCTAAATTATGGACCTCCTCAACAACAACAACCATCGCCTCAGCCTCAGCTAAATTATGGACCTCCTCAACAACAACAACCATCGCCTCAGCCACAGCCAAATTATGGACCACCG